TTTTTCCCCCCCCCCCCCCCCCGAAAAATGCCACTTAAATAGAACATATTACTTTCTTGGTAAAAACTGAAGTACAGTATTGCTTAGAGCATCTGAAGGTGATGATGATTTAAAGGGCTACAGTGGCTGCTAAAGACACTGGGTGAGAGAACACACTGAATGTTGATTACACTAAGGAAGTGATCAGTTTGAACCTTACTATCCATCCTTTGAGTTCAAATGTGTCCTTGTGATAATTCAGATACATTTGTAGAACATGAGTTTCATATAGTTTTCTGTGTAATTTTCAAACAGGAAACTACATTCTGTTCAACACCGTTATATGTAAGGCCTTTTTCTCACAATTTACTGGATGACTGGACAGGATCTAGGCAACATTTTCCAATCCAAAGAGTTAAAGCAAAGAGATCCAAACATCTTTTCTGAAGCTGCCTAATGCTTTAGGTATGGAATCCTGAAAAAAGTTAAATCTAAATTAGAACAATATATTACACCCCCAATCAAACTATCATATAAGAGTGTAAAAGCAGCTTTTGAGCTCCCTGGAACTATTCATTAGACTAAATGCAGAAAAATGGGGTATGGATAGAAATACTGTATAGGCATCTGTACAAACCACAATGATCCAAAAATAATGAAATATCACAATGCTAACCTTGAAGTCAGACCTTGGGGTTAGGGTAGGTCACGTGGTTTCCACTGTGATGTCACAATGCATGATTTGGCATTCCCTTGCAGATGCCTGTGAGTGGAAAGAAAAAGAAAATTAGTGTTCCTTTACAGTCTTAAGGTAGAAAATGATAGGAGGCAACATACATTCTAATTAGGTAATTTTTGTTTTGTACCTAGGATTTCTGTGATGAGAAAACATACAGTAGTTGATCCCTCATTTTTAAAAGTATAAAATCCAAAGTCCTCTTCTAACATTCATAATATATATGCGTGAAGGATGTCAGGGACTTGCATTACAGGTCCACCATCTCAGCTCTTACACTGCATATTTACCTAGAAGATCTACAGTGGCAACTGAGTTCATCGAACTCATTTCATCAGAAATCTTGCCTTATCATAGTTCTCAATAATCTAAAAGTCTGTTAAACCTTTCTGCCTATTGCCCACACATTTCCAACACAAACGTTCCAAAGAGATAGTCATGTTTTGCAGCAGCAATAAAAAGCCTCCAGAGAGATTTGTAGCACCTTTGAGACTAGCCATAGTCTTACTAGAGTATATCATAAACTTTTATGGATCAAACCCACATGATCAGATGATATCCTGAAGGCCATAAAATATATTAATTGGATAATCCAAATTGAATAAGGAGGTCTTTGCATCAAACCTCTTCAAATGATTCATAAGTTGACTCAGTTCCTCAGAGATGAATGGAGCAGAATATACATTTTAACAATAATATAAAAATCCTGGTTCTGCAGCTTTGTAGCCAACACAGGAATATATAGTGAGGTATGCCTTATGCATTTAAAGAGTCTCTGATTATTTTCCAGCAGTTTAAATCATTTGGAAAATGTTCCTGTGTTAATTTGGTTTCAAAATGCTCAGACAGGCATTTAAAAATTGCATACAAGGTCAAAGATAGTACTGGAGGGGGGGCTATATTCATTTTATCATTACCTGCAGTCAGACGGGCATTTAAAAGTTGCATACAAGGTCAGAGAGAGTACTGGAGGGGGGCTATATTCATTTTATCATTACCTGCAGCTATCCGTGATGTTTCAAAATGGAGTGAAAAAGCAAGAAAGCCAATGGAAGAAATGTATGGACATGAATATTTCAGCAAAACCTGTTCAGCTTGGGTGGATGGAATCTCCCAGTTCATGCACAAGTCAGATGGTAAGGACCTGGAACTGCCCCCTAGTTTGTTTCATCTCATTCATTAAAAAAGTAATAATTATGTGTTCCCCATATCCCAAATACATTCTCCTCTTGGGTTTGCTGCAACTTCTACTTCTTGCTATCTTTCTCTTGGTGTCATTTTCAGAAAACGTTGTATGTGAAAGAGAGGGATGGGATCTGCATCATATAGTTGTTTTCATAAGATCATACTGCTATGCTTGATAAATTGAATGAGTCAGCTCAGTCAAGCACTTTGCATCCATAAATGAGGGACAGATGTCCCTGGCCATTGAGGCTGGGAATGAATAGAAAGTGTCCCCCAGCCTGGTGTCTTCAAGAGATGTTAGCTATAAATTCCATCATCCTCAATCAGCACGCCCTCCATCCACACAACCTGAGTTATGGTATTGCAGTTTAACATAGCTGGAGGCCATCAGATTGGATTGGAGGAGCTGCCCTGAACAGTATAACATAACCTTGTAATTACCCCCTCTTTGTCCTCCTTTTCTGTAAGTGGACAACTTGAAGTGGGAAAGAGTAAAGTACTTATTGATGTAAAGGATAAAGAAGGCACAATCTGGATGGCTTGTGAAAAGCTTTGCTAAAAATACAGAGTTGAGACAAGAGATAGAAAGGGTGGAATACTCCATTTAAAAAAAAAAAAAGTAGGTGTCTTTTTTGGGTGGGGAGTAGTGGATGTGGGTCTCCAGAGTTTGTTATCTTTCAACATGAGTCCTCCTGGGCCTTTGCCAGTAGCACAGCTGAAGGAACTGTGGTAAATGCATTTTCCCCAACCTTCTGGGGTTCTACACCTGTTGACATTCCTTCTTTGTATAGCCATCCAAAGCACAAAAACCCTTGGATTAGTAAAGGTGGGGTGGAGGAGGAGAATTATTATTGATTTAATATGTCACATGGAGCAGAATATTAATAGTGTTGGATTTAAATCAGCAAGATTCAGTTCAAATTTTCACTTTGGCCTGAAACTTAGCAGATAGTCTCTTTCAATTGAGAACCTGCTTCTCAGAATGATGTACTGTTAAACAGCATCATACCACCCTGGATTTGTTGGAAGAAGAATGTGATAGCTTTTTAATGTTTATGGGAACTAACTGAACTGAAGATAACATAAATGTGATGTCTTATGCAACACAGTAATTATGAATGTGTTCTATTATGCAGAAAATTAGAAGTCAGAAAGGAGATCTAGATATACTGGGGGATCTCTGGATGATTTGTAGCAGATCTTCACAAGTGTTTCTGACTTCCAAGTACTTGATACTGGCAGCACCAAAATAAGTTTTCCCCTGCCTCATTGCGATGCTAAAATGAAGAAAATTTGGACATCCAGAAATAGATTTTTGTATGGAAGGATTATGAACTCATTACAGTTCTAGAACTCTAAAAGAAAATCCCTGCAGTCAAAATTCCTTCATTCTGATGGTTTCGGGGGGCAGGGTCCTAGTAACCCTTAATGAAATAGATTATTCGAGCCAATTTTCCAAGTAAATTCACAGGGCAGAGCTGAGGTTTTCCTTTTACTGAAGATGGTTTAGTTTTCACATACAATGGTTGCCTTCCATGGCAGAGAGTAGGGCTCAGCTGCGTAAACAGTTCTCTGAAGGACAGTGTTTTTCATAGGCTGACAACTTACTTCCCTTAAAGATTTTTTTTTTTTTTAAATGCCAAGCATTAGTAATGTGTCATGTTACCTGAATGGAGCAAAATAGTTTTGGAGCCCAGCAAATAGTAGTGGAAATGCTTCTATTTCATACCTCCTTTGTTGGGTCAACTATACTCAGCAAAGTACATGATATAAACCTGAAATTAGTTTCTGCTTCCTAATTCCAGGCTGGACCATAAGAACAACACAGGTGTGGCTGTTCCAATTATCCTAATTCATTCTTAACCAGGAGCAATATTCTGTTTACTTACAGAAGTATGTTGGTTTAAAAGAAAACTTCATTTTTAAACATCCTAAAATAAAGTCCCCCCCTCCCCAATAACCTTTGATTGGAATGTAAGGGAGAACAAGAAGTTGCTTTACAAGATGTTTCTGTTGTTCTGCTTCTATTCTAAGTACAGTACATATTAACTTTACCTATTTTTGCTTCTCAAGCCAAGTCAATCATTACCAGTTGGAGTTTAAAATTGTTCAAGACTAATTACCACCTGGTTGGGTTTTTCCACCAAGGTCATCTTAAGTGCTTTCTACATGGTAACTGTTGTTCAATGTACCAAGGACAGAAATTAGGGGAAGGGTACAGAATTACCATCTAGGCTAGGAAATGAACTCAGCAGTCTTAATTACTACCCTCTGTTTAATAACTCCCAGTTTTAATATATGCCCAGCAAGAACACCTTTGAATAGTAGTTCCACTTGAAATATTAATCTGCAGTGATTTCAAAAATCAGATGAAATCTTTGGGTTTACCTAACAGATTTTTCATTATGGTCATGGCACAGTTCTTGTTCAAAAAGCCATGCAGTTTCTCATGTTAGTATTTCTTTTTGTGCTGTGCTTAGATCGGGACATTGTTATGTATGAAGAAAGAGAACAGTCAAGATTTAATCTTCAAGATATATTCTTGGGGTGGGGTGGGGTAGGGGAATGCAGCGATTTTCTGAACCATGTTATAAGCTTATCTTGTATGCAGGCAGTGTTTAATTGCATCATATAAACCAGAAGTGTTGCTTATGTTCCCTTCTCATATATAGAAACAGTGAAATAAGTTATACAGAATGAAACAATAGCAGCTTACTTGGATTTATTTAATTTTTTGCAATTTATATTTATACTGCACACAAAGCTCAGTTACTCTGTCAGACAAATGTGGATTACTTTAAGAAAATAAGAGTGACACTGAATCTCCCCAAAGGGTAAACTATCTAACCCTCAGTGTCCATGAAGATCAACCAGATGTCTTTGGACAACCCATGAACAGGACATGAGTGCAGTAGCAGAATTTGTCATTGTGTGCAGAAGATGCAGTGCCATGCCGATATCAACTGCAATATATTTTGTTTGCATTTCTCTCCTGTATTTGTGAAAGAGCTTTGGGTAGATCGCAAAAGAAGAAGAAAAATGAAGATTACCCTATTGATATAAAACGCCATTGCATTAAATTGAATGGGCTCTCATATAACATTATCTGCATTTGATTAACTGGAGTGTTCGGGGGGGTGGGATGTGGAGGGAACCAAAAAGAAAAAATATTGCACTCTGAGTGAAACAATGCAAAATTTTGATCTTGGCCAACTGCTCTCATTCAAGAAATACAGCTGTTTCGCCATGGGGAAGTACATTCTCTGTCTTCACATTTTTGTCTGTTTTAAACAAAAATATTGGTTTTAGTTCATTTTGTTCCTCCCCAGGTGATATCTGTCAGCCTCTGCTGCCTCATATTAAATGCCCAACACTAATAATACATGGTGAGAAGGATCCATTGATACCCCGTTTTCATCCAGAATACCTCCACAAGCATATCAAAGGCTCACGGTAAGTCTCATACTTTGCTGGCAGGGTAAGAAGATGATCTGGTGCAATGAATATCATTTTGTAAAAGGATTAACCACCTCCCATGTCCTCCTGCTTTTGTTATACATGACTTCAGGTGCCATAAAATTGGTAAGAGTTCTTCCACATGAAGCCCCGCTAGAGAGATACACAAATATTTCCAAGATTCTAAGGAATCAAGCAGATTTGCACATTAAGTTCACCTTGCAGTTTCCCCGAAGCACAAATTCCTATTTATTCTGCTTGGGAATGCATTTGGAGTCAGCAGCAATAAAATGAAATGTTAACTGGGTTCCTTCCTACCTCCCCCTCAACCAGACAACATAGACATTGCCAGGGCCAGGTCGTTCATTGTGAAACCTTTATGTCCCACTAGTCAAAAGTTGGAGATTATATTCCGAGACAGGTATCTGCAGGAAGAACTATCAAAGACTGTTTCTTAGGAGACAGACACTGTGTTTTTGGTAGTGACAAGGCAAAGCTGTAGCTTTCTTTCACTGAACACAGACATATTTCCAATTCCATATTTTGTAGGACCAAACCATGCCTCCATTTATGCCCAACCTGTTGCTTGTAGATGCTTTAGACTTCAGCTTTCATAATGCCCCAGCCAGTATAGCCAAAGGAAAGGTGACATTTGTTCATTCAATGTTTCCTTTGGAAGGAGTTAAAATCAGCAAACAGCAAATCTCATTTAGGTCTTTCGAAGAAACAGATCAGTTATAATACCTGTGTTTCCAAAGGCCTAAAGAAATTATCTTGTCTCAGCACAAAGAGCATACACTAACAAATACGGCTGATTTGGCTTCAGATCATATATTTCCATTCCTCCTTTATTTCTGTTGCATCAGCCTATTTCTCCCTCTCTAAACAAGCACGTACAGTAGTTTTCACCAACCCAGTGTTCCCTTGATGTGCTGGAACTCCAACCCCTAGAGTGACAAAGCAGGATTTCCATTGGCTGTGTGGGCTGCCATTTCTAGTCCCAATATCACTTGGAGGACAGCAAGTTAAGGAAGGCTGGTACCAGTTCTTTGTATACTTTAACTTATTCAACCTTTGTCATTGCAGGTTGCATTTCATGCCTGAAGGAAAACATAATTTACACCTACGATTTGCAGGAGAGTTTAACAAAATGGTAGAAGACTTTCTTCTGTAAGGCACCTACTTCTTTGCTGTTCCTGAAAGACTGGTATAGTTTAGCTGAAACTGGCAATATTGAACTGTACTCTTAAGGGTAAGAGTGTGACAAGGGGACTTGCATTCTTTGCCCTGCCCATATTGTCCCCAAATGGTAGCAAAGCTAATATATACGAACAATTCTGGGACATAGGGTTTTTTTCCCCCATCTTTATTAAATGATTAAAAACTGCTAAGTGCAGGAATGTTTTGTTCCTCAACAGTTTTGTAGAAATGTTAAGAGAGCCACATAAGTTTCAATAAATACTTTATTGCCCAGATTCATCTTGAAGAAAAGCACAAACAGAAGTTGTTATCCAGAATGCATGCCTTGATACAGAATCCTCAGCATTGAACACCACACAAAAGCCATTGTAGAATTTAATTTTACAGCAGACATCCTTGATGAGTTTACACAATGCACAAAAGAAAGCCAACATAAAGACAGTGCCACAGAAAACAAGTTTAATCCCAGCTGTCTGAATTCATGCCTGTTCTACTAGTATTCTAGTTGCACTCGTGCCCATTTCTGCCCAAAAGTCTTAAGGTTTTTTTAATTGAAGAAATGCTGGCAGATGTAATTTTGAACATACAATAACTCTGAATATTAAAAAATACATCCTAGCTATTAGAGTGAGAGGGAATAAGCTCCTAACTATACAAGCCAATGATAACAATCCTTTCCTGTACATAAAAAAAATAGTTTTTAGAATCCAGTTGATGCAATACCTGCATCTTTTCAGGAGCCCAATCCCAACAGTTGGAAATGATCAGTTCAAATCACAATTAAAATGTTGTAAGCTACACACAGAATTCTAATTGCAACTATAAACACTTCTACCTAGTGTATTGTGAGAACACAAGAAAGATGAGGAAAAACTCATCAAAGTAAGATTACCATGTGCCTCTGCAATTGTGTAAAATATGTTTTAGCATGTGCAAATTATTTCATGGGGTAGAAGAAAAAAGATTTCTGCTTACTCTAATTGGGCTCTATAAGTCAGTATTTCTTGGTTACTGCCTTTCCAGTGGAGTCAAGATCAAGGGTCAGTAATGATGGGAAGACAAGTCTTCTCCAATGTAACACCCTTCAGAAGTGTTGGGGCCGTAACACCTATTGTTCCCAGGAAAGAAAGAAAATCTGTGCTGGCTGGAAAATCTGGGAGTTGCAAGTTACAACACATCTAAAAAGTACCAACCTAGAGAAGCTTTGTTTGTACAGCACTCAATAAATCTCCTTCTTGGTTTAGATAAACTATTAACATCTCTCTTTAATAAAACTTTAATCCCTGCAGTAATTTTCCTTGAGAATTATCTTAAGTACCAATTAGAGGTGCAGAATCTATAGTTGCATAAACTTAGAAGTTAATTCTTAAGATTTCAATATACAATGTAGAGCTGGCCCTACTACCAGCACAGTTGATGAACAGTTCAGCTTTATAGCACTCAAACTTTAATAGGATTTGTATGATTTGCATCACCCTAATTAAATCATTTTGCCAATTTATAAATATTGAAGTAATAGAACAGGGTCACAAAAACTGCTGACAGAGGCAACAGTGAAAAGCACCAAGAATAACTGGAAAAGCATGCACTGGTACAGCTGAACAGCTCTCACCTTGGACACTTGCCTATGCACTAACCCTACTTAACCTCTAAGCCTCATCTTCCTATCCTTCCTCCTCAAACTCCCCTTGCTCATCTGCAGTAGCATCTTGATACTGCTGGTACTCAGAGACCAGGTCATTCATATTGCTCTCGGCTTCCGTGAACTCCATCTCGTCCATGCCTTCGCCGGTGTACCAATGCAAGAAGGCCTTCCGCCGGAACATGGCCGTGAACTGCTCAGAGATTCTCTTGAACAGCTCCTGGATGGCGGTGCTGTTGCCGATGAAGGTGGCAGTCATCTTCAGACCTCGGGGGGGAATGTCACACACCGCCGTCTTCTCATTGTTGGGAATCCA